GAGGTGGTGACGGACACCACACCGGATGGCTTTGAAGGGGACTGGGCAGAGCCATAGAAGCGGAGGCTATCAGTGGCCACGTACCTTGCCGGCTTGGTGCTACCTCTTTACCAGAAGAGGCATGTCTGCATTGGGTAGATGGGGGCTTTGCACCCATCCTGCTTGAGGGAGCCTGTGGGCAGCTGTTTTGCCCCTGTGTGTACAGACTGGATGACCATTGGTCTGATCCAGCGGGGCTTTCCTTCTGTTCCTATTTGGGCAGGGGCCTGCTTTGTGCAAGAAGCCTTCTGGCCTTCCCTGGCTTTCTTGCTTCCAAGGAAGGGGGCCTTTCCTCCTGCTGTGTCATGCCCGGAAGACCCGTCTTCAGACTCATCATGATCCCGAGAGCCCAGATGACAGCTAGACTGATGGTTGCTCTTTTCAGCAGCAGTTGCAGTCACAAGGCTGCTGCTCTTAGGGGGAGCAACATTTTTAGGGGTGCTGAGGAGCCAGGGCCCACATGTTCCCCTTTGTCTCCTCGCTGTGTGCTCGTCGGAGCTCCAGCCTGGGTGGCCGAGGGCTGCCTTCCGCTCATGCTGGCCCAGCTCGAAGCAGTTCCTGAGAGAGAAATCCTGGCGTGGGGAGGGCTGCAGACTCATTTCGGTGCCCTCACCCCACCTCTGTCTGTCCTTCTAGAGAAGACACTCCAGTCTGGGTGTAAAAATGCCCAAGTTCTCATAGCTGACATGCCCTCCTTATGAAGAATGGTTATGGGATCTGGGATTGAGCAGGATGATCTCCTGGGATCCCTTCCATTGGAGTAATTCCTGATTCTAGGAGAGAGGGTGGACTGAAAGTTGCAGGCAGGTGCGGCCTGTGGCCATCATCTGGCTGAGACATTCAGGTAAACTGCTGTGAGGGTAACCCAGGAAGAAATGATCAGAGGCTGTTCTGGAAGGAAGGCAGTCATTTGGGAGCAGGGGCATCACTGTCTGCCCCTCCATCCCCTTCCCTAGGGGATGGGAAGCTACTTGTATGTGTGAAGAAACAGCCTGGGGGGAGGATGCAGGCCATTGTCCCTCAAAAATCAGATCTGTGCACAGCGGACTTTAGAGTGTAAATACACTCAGCTGCTACAAACTGCCCGTGAGCCTCCAGTGACCTTCCCTGAGGGGGCCTGGATAGGTGCAGCTCTCCTGCAAGTTCTTGCTAAACAAAGAATCGAGGCACTGGTACACTGAACTGTACAGTTCCTGCCCCATGTGACATGGGAGCAGCTAATCGTAGAGGCAACTGCTAGCTTTAAAGTAGGCCATTGCTGCTAAGCATAGCTTTGAAAACTGCTTTTGTAGTCAACTCAAAGGATCGTGCAAAGGATGTACTCAAGCAGTTGTTGTACAGTGAAGATATGGAACAAGTTCCTGACACCTCTGGATGCCTGTCCGTTTCCTCGTGCACTCTCTGTACGCAGAACTTAAGAAATGTGCCTAGAGAGATGAGTTAGCACAGCAGCTGGGGGCAGGTTTGTTGACTGCCAATATCCTAACATAAAGATGGTGGACAAGAAATGTGGCTGCCTGTGAGCAGTAGTTTGGCATCAGACCCTGTGGTGGTTGTGCATCACTATTCATGCAGCCTCACACTGCACTCGCTTTTAACCCGTTTCAGTCCAGTACCTTCCCAAGGCTTTTGCTTCCAGATTCTTTGGGAAATTGAGAGGCAGTGCTTTACCTGTTTCCCCCCCACCATTGTTCCCCTCCTCTTCTGGCGACGTCTTCCTCTTGCTTTTCTGTGTGTTCCATTACATAACTGCTAGGCAGCACTGTGGCATGGCAGGATTGTGCGAACACAGGACCCTGTTTGAGCCGTGCATCACATGCTAGCCCCGTAATAGCTCATTATCCTCCTTCCTGGAAAAGCGGTCTGGAGGAGGGTGGCCTGGTGTGGAGCACCCACAGATGACCCTGGGTGCAGAGCACAATCGGTGCCTTGTGCAGAGAGGCCTGCGCCGGTCTTTGAGGAAGCGGCACAGCTTTCTTGTGCAGAAGGCAGGCTCCGTCTGCGCCCTGCGCTCCGTGTGCAGCTGTGGCTTTGGCAGGGCTTGCTGCAGTCGCCTGAGAACCAGCAGATCTCTTAGTCCATCGCATCCTCAGCCCCTCAGAGTGGCCGGGGGGAGCAAGAGCCAGAGTTCCATCTGTTTGTGGAGACGCTGCCAGAATGACCTTCTCAGAACGACGTCGACCTGATTTCAAAGTGTGCATTTTGGTAGAGTAGCCATGTGAGGGTACATCTCGTCAGTGACATGAGGCAGAAAATTTTCAAAATGGAACTCCCCCCCACAAACGTTTTTTAGTGCTGTATTTTTTTGAGCAAATTTCCATTTCATAAATTCCTTCAGAAAAATACTTATATGCCAGTTGCAAAACAAAATGCTAGAAGAGGCTGGCAGGTTTAAAGGTACGATTTGTCTTTTTCAGGCAATTGTCATTAGCAAGAGTGTGTGGAAATGTGTGTGTCTGTGTAGGTCTCTCAGGGACATGCCACATGGAGTGACAGTGGAAGGGTAGGTGGCTCAGCAGCATCCGTGGAAGGGAGTCTCACTCGGTGGAGATGGAGGAACGGTTCCTTGAGGCTCCTAACATTAAGGAGCAGGTCAATGGTCTTGGTACGTTTGCTGTTTTCTGAAATTCAGACAAAGGGAGGGCCATGCCATTGTCTTTAAACTTTTCCATGCCTCTTGCCAAAAACATTCTCCCTAGAACAGCACTGAAATCACATGCTAGTGCTGCTGAGCATTGCAGGGGGTGTGGCATTGCTCTCTGTGTAAACCTGTGCCCCGCCACACACACCAACATATTCCATGTCAAGCACACTTGGTGTGTTTATAAGCTAACAGCGAGGGACTTTTAAAAATGTGTGTGCACTAAATGCAGGTGAACTAAACACAGCCGATTTTGTCTCTGCAGCAGTTTCTGAGCACAGTGCTTGGAGCCCTGCACATCCAGTATAGCCTTCCTTTCTCCACGCCTGTCAGGGCAGCATCCCGGTTCCCCCCATTTTTGCAGAACGCTGCAGGCAGGCGGCAGTGAAGTCATTGCTCAAGGTCGCAGGCCTGGCACTTCAGCTGCCCTTCCCGGCCCAGCCAGCCAGTGTTGGAGTCTGACTCCGCTGAGCTGGCTTTGCAGCCCTCATGCCCAGTCAGCCATGTGCGTGCCTGCTGGTACACCAAAGCCCATGATGGATTATCCTCTGCCATTGAGCAATAACCACTGGACCAACCCTGCCCTGCTGGCTGCTCTCCAGACGCATTGGACATGCTGGTGGGGGACTGCTGGCAGCCAGGGCCCCAACTAAAGAGGCTTTTCTATGCTCTGCTTCCTGTATTTGCAAGGAGGGGTCTTGGGCAATCACTTCGTAATCAGGGAGGAAGCTGGTCAGAAATCTTGGAGCATCAACGCTTCTCTCCACACAACTCAACCCTCCACTCTGGGCTAGACCAGTGGCCCCAGTCAATCAGCTGTCGGCTGTCTGTGGGAAGCAGGACATGAGTGGAGCAGCACCCTCCTGCCCATGGTAGGTGGACATGGTATCCTCCCTGGAGGTAGCATGATCCCACTAGGACTGGTGGCCCCTGGTGGCCTCCTGCGCCACGAATTCACCCAGGCCCACTGAAGGCTGTCCAAGTCAGGCAGCCTCGCCAGGCCACACGAGCGTGAGCTGCACAGCTGAGGGAGCACCCTTTGAGAAGCCCTTCCTCTCGCCTGCCCTGCATCTCCCACCATTCAGGTCACGGGGGCCCCCAGTGGGTTCCTGTGTTACGAGAAAGGAAGAAAAAATGTCTCCCTGCCCGCTTTCCTGAAAAATGGCCAGAAAGTAGGCATCTTCAACCCAGACGAGCCCTTGGAATCTTGCTTGAGATGACCTGTTGAAAGTGGCTTAACTGTAACCGGCAGCCTCCTGCACGGGCTTTGCTTGCTTGCTTCCGATCAGGAATTAGAATGGTAGGGCTGGGAGGGTCCAGAGGGACTGTGCAGCGGCTGGCTGTCCAGTGGCACCTCGAATGCCTCCAGCAGGCGGAGCCCGCCACCTCCCCAGGGCTTTGGCTCCATGGCTGTACTGCTCTAACCGTCAGAAAGTGACCTGAGCGCATGGTTCCAGGTCCCGCGTTCTGGGATGACTGAGCAGAGATCCTGTCCTTCCTCTTTGCAGCAGCCCTTTAAGGACCTGGAGGTGCCAGTGTCTCTCCCCTCAGGCAGTTTTCATTGCTGCTTTTGCACTGACTGCTGTCTTGGATCTCTTCTCTCAGAATTTTTAGCACGCTGGGGGCAGTTATGATGGGGCTGATGGGAATCGGGAACATTTACAACTTTAACGTTTTTACTTTTGGCAATAGCAAAACATTGAATAACTGCAACTAGGGGTGTGTAGGGTATGGTATTAGAATTCCTGAAGTTGGAAGTAACTCAGAAGCATAGATGATTCATCAGCACAGGCAGGCAGGGGCTGTGACTTGACTTGCCACTGGGGAACTGGCTTTGGCTGGTGGATCTCAAGATCAAAGCAAAACGATACAGCAGATCCTGTGAGCTTTGAGGATGTGCCATTCCAGGGGCGAGGCAAGAATCCTGGAATTGTCTGTCTTAAAACCAGAACCAGCAAAGGGGTGGGGTGCGGGCTCCTGCCCCCCCCCCCCCGCCACTGCATCACTGGAGCCACACAGGATGCAGGAATATCTCTGCCCTGCTGGGGACCACTGGGCTTCGGGTTTGTGCCAGGTATGGGCATGGCAGAGTCTGCCAGCCCGCTCTTTCCCCTCTAGCAGCCAACGTTTCTTACGACCATGCCGATGCATTGGCGCCTGCCGTTTTTCCTCTTGAAAGGAGCCCAGGGTGGCTGGCGGAGCTTCCCTCTCATCTGCACAACAGCCCCGTGAGGCCGCCAGCTATGACTGGCCCAAAGCCACCCAGGGGGCTTCCTGGCTGAGCAGGGGCTGGGACCCGAATCCCCCAGGTCCCCTGTCCCGCATACTCCCCATTGCCCCACGCTCTGCCCCAGAGGAGGGCGATGGCTGGCCCGCCTCTTCCTGGCCCCCACTGCGCTGGGTGAAAGCTCTGGGTTGGCCCAGCGGGGCGGGGGGTGCTCAGAGGCCTGAGGTGGGGTGCTGACAGATCAGCCTGAGCCTTTGGCTCTCGAGTGGCAACCATTTCCGGGCGTGAGGCGCACTGGCAGGGGCTGGGAAGGGAGCTCCCACAGGAGTTCTGAACAGATGGCATAGATTGCCAGAGATGGGCCTTTGTTAAGAGAGTCTTGCTTTGATTATCCAGATCTGAATGTGGGTGGCTGGGCCTACTGGGAAAATGGCAGGATGCAAGGGGGAAGTGGCATGGAGAGAGCTTTGAGAACGATTTTCCGGTAACCAGGAGGACTGGAACGTTCACGAAAGCTGGGGATTGAAGTTTCCTTGGCCGACTGTGAGCCATGGTGGTTCCATGGCTCCGGGGATGCGTAACTCTGGATTTTGGTAGGCTATCAGCAGGCCATGTGTGCAGACTGGCTTTTCCTTCATGCCGTCCATTCCTGCCTCGGGGGCGAGGCTCTTTGGGATCTGCTGCGCATTCTGCTTTCAGAATCTCCGCCCTGATTTGCCTCACAGCACTGCAGGGGCAGGCCACGTGTGGCCTTCCAGATGCTTTGGCCTACAACTCCCATCAGCCCTTACCCTTGCTCTGTTGTCTAGGGCTGATGGAACCTGCTGGCCCAAGCACCTGGTGGGCTGCATGTCCCCACCCTGGTAGTCCTGGGCAGAAACCGCTTGACTTAACCCTGCGCTGAAAAAAAGAGTCCTGTGTGCCCAGGAAGCCCTCGAAGAGCCTTTCCAAATGAGCCCGCCTCCTCCCCGCCTCTGGTGTTAGGGGAGGTCTGCAGGAAGCTGCCTCTCCTGGCCCTGCACAGGGGGCGCCCAAGGCGAGGCTGGCGCATGCGCCCACGAGACCTTCCACTGCTGTGTGCCCCTTCCTCAGGCACTCACTCCAGAGCAGCTTCCCACACGTTGCTGGACGGGAGGCAACCTCTGGCTGGATGTTGCTCCCCAGAGTGTGGCTTCCGGGGAGCAGGGGGCATGGGGACGCTCTGCAACAGGCACCCCTTTTCCTGGCAGGACACATCCCTCCCTCCCTTTCTCATCTGGGGCTTGACTCTAGAGGTTTGCTCTTAGGCACACTTCTAAACTGCGCCTTTTCTCTCTCCGTTTTAGGTCTCCGCTGCAGCAGAACTTTCTCTGGGCAAGGAAGTGAAGAAGGAAGATTACCAGGGGATTATCTGAAGCCCCGAGCGGCAGAGGAGGATGAGTGACGCTGCAGCTCCATGCCTGGCAGGCGCCAAGTGGGAGAGGCGGTTGCAGGGCTGAGCAGAGCTGCACATGCAGAGCGGCCGTGCAGGGAGCACACGCAAGAGCCTGGGCCACCCAAGCGGCAGCTGTCCCTGGGCATTGCTACGGATGCACAGCTGTCTCCTTGGCAACAGCAAGCAAGAGGCAAGGCACGATGGTGAGGGAAGGCAGCGGCTCCCCAGGTGCAAGCAAGGTGCTGAAGGACCGGGGCGCCTCAACCCCCCGGATGGCGTTGCTCTGATAGCTGACAAAAGGCTCCTTTCTCTTCCTCTGTCCAAGATGCGGAGTCTTGAAGCTTATGCTGAGGAGCTGACCAGATGGCAACATCCTCCTTCGAGCTGGCACAATTTCCGTCCCCTCCCAAGAAGGAGGGATGCCGGAGCAGAGAGCGCAGCTGTGCTTGCAGCAGAAAGGGGAAATGCATGAAGGCACATGTCTTGATCTAGGCAAGGAGAGTTGTGAGCACTGCTGTCTGCTTTTCCTCTCCAGCCAGCCTTCTGGAGCTGCGGAAGGTTGGGTTTGCTTTGCTGGCTGCTGATACAGGAAGAAATTGCAGCTGTTTCCTCTGGACGCTCAGTCTCTGGCCCCTTGCGTCAGTTGTCCTTGAACTTCCTCGTTCAGTTGGTCTCTGCACACCCAGAGGCCTGTGGGAGGGAGCAGCAGCTTTTCAGGAACTCGACTCTTGGCCAGCTGCGTCCTGCCTGCCCCTGTTCCTCTCGTGGGCCCTCCTGCTGCTGCAAGACAGGCGAGCCAAGGTGCAGCTGCTATCGCGGCGGTGACCCTCCCTTGCCCCTCCCCGCTTGTGCCCACCATGAAGTTTTCCCTACGCTTCTGGTTCCTGTCCACGGCTTTCCTGCTCATCTTCATCGTGTCACTGCTCTTCACGTACTCCCACCACAGCATTGCCTACCTGGAGGCTGGTGGACCAAGCGGCCTCCACAGGGTGAAGCTGGTGCCAAACTATGCCGGCATGCAGCGCCTCGGCAAGGAGGGGCTCTTGGTGAGGAGCTGCGCCTGCCGCCGGTGCACGGTGGGCCCCCGCGACTCCGAGTGGTTCGACAGCCGCTTCGATGGGAACATCTCCCCCGTGTGGACCATTGAGAACATGGATCTGCCGCCAGAGGTCCAGCGGTGGTGGATGGTGAGTCTTGGGCGCCGTCTCTGAGCGCCCAGCTGGTGGGGCAGTGTGTTCCCTGTCCTGGGCTGAGCTCTTGGGCGACTCTGGCCAGGTCTTTCTGTGCCCCGCCTGGAGGCGACCTGCTGCCTGGGAACTCTTAGGTAAAATGGCGTACGTGGCACAACGCTGCTGCCCGTGCATCCCTCATCCTCAACAGTGTGTTGCCCACTTTTTGAAGAATGTGCAGCTCCGTGGCAAGCCGGTGCACGCTGGCGCCATTCTTTCCTATGATCCTGGTCCTATTTCTGTGCTTGTTTTCTTGCTGGCTATTTCAAGCATTTGTATCCTTCCACTCCGGCTTGGGAACAGGTGTGCAAGGTGTGTTTTCACTCAGCTTCTTGTGCAAAGATGGGGAACGTTAACTTACAAATCCTGTGGGATCTTTGGTGGCTTTTTTCTTATGACTTAGTATATAGTTTTGCTTCAGAGCATACCAAGCATCTTTTTTACTGGGTAAACTATATCGAACCACCAAGTTACAAAAAGCAAACACATCAACAATCCAGTCCCTCCCCTTTTCCTAGTCTGTCGTCTGATCTGTACCGTAGCCAGGTAATATGTTTCTAATACGGAATCGGCATGATTACGAGCCACTGAAATGGGTCCTTTGTTCATGCTGTGGTCTATGCAGGAAAAACAAGGATGGGGGACAGGATGAGCATCTTGGGCGGTGACAGTTATGGATAGTTCTGAGGTGGTGGCCCATTGGTGGCCCTTTTGTTTGCAGGCAGAACCTGAACTTGTCTTGGGAGGAGAACTTATGGTCTCACTGGTGTGGGGTGCATACCTTTAAATGGTCGTGTGAGTCATTTCAGTTGTGAATTACACCCTTAACCATTCCCTTCTCTCCCATTCCAAAACAATGCTCTGTTTGCCAACCCTGATTTACTGAGAGAGAGAGAGAGAGAACGTACAGTTTTGCACTTCAAACTCACTTACACTGTAACACTGTAATGACTTAAACAATAGAATGGCATTTGCTTCTGCTGCCCTGATGTGAAACCCATTCTGGAATGAGCAGCTTCTGGTTGAAGCAAGAGATAGCAGATTTTTAAAGTTAAAAAACTAAAATGAGCCTCCATAACCATGTATATCCCCCAACCACCTGCCCTACCATGTGTAAAATGCTTTAACAATAACAATGCAGTGAGCCCAGTGCACCGCTTCTGGGACCTGCTGGCTGCGCTCCGGACAGCCCTTGGAATGTGGAGAGGGGAAGGGGTTCGGGGTCCAAGGCTCCGGGTTTCAGCTGAAACGGTTTGAATCAAAGTGGCTGCCTCCTCGAGAAGTGGGAGAATCGTCTGTCCATGTGAAGTGCTTACCCCTCCTCGCCTACCTTTCAGAAAGGCCCCAACTCTACCAGCAGGGTGGCTCCTGCTGCTTTTGAGCCAGACAGGGCACGCTGGACACTCGGTGATCGCTCCGCTTCTGGCCGGCTGTTTCCTGACAGTATCCAGCACTCCTCCTCCATCGCCTTCCCTGCAGCTCTGAAATGCCTCCCCCCTCCCCCAGAGGCCCGGGGCCGACGCTCCCAACGCCAAGGGCAGCACCTGCCTGCTCGACATATGTGCCGTGTGATGCGCCAGCATGGGCTGCTCTGTCACACGCCATCTGTCATCGTGCTTCTGGAATCCGGGCAAAGAGAGGCTCCTCCATCCCTGCAGTTTAATCACGATGCCGTATCTGCTAGCTCAAGCTCAGAAGGAATTCCAGAGCAGCCACAGTGGCATCAAATCCCATTTCAGCCACAGGAGCAAAAGCATCAGAAGGCAACCGTTGAATAAGCGGCAGCTCTGTGGCAGCCATGCGGGGTCAGCCACCTTGCAGAATCATCAGCTAATGCCAAGGAGTCAAACAGTGTGGCATTGGAACAAGCAGATTAATGCCATAAAGCACACCCCCTACCCGGGGGCTGCCAGCACCCCCCAACCCGGTTCTCCCAACACATTGGGAGGGCACAGAGCCGGGGGAGGCGGCCCCACTGGTTGCAACTTGGCCAGGGAGCTTCTGGTACAGGGAGGTACAGAGGAGGAGAAGGAGGAGGGGATGAGGATGAGGATGATGGGGAAGGGGGATCTTCAGCAGAGGCATCTCAACTTCCTCAGAAGCACTTAGTTCCCAGGGTGCTTTGAAGGAAGGCTGTGGGCAATAAACTGGTTTTAGATCAGTTCCAAGGCATCATGGCATCAATATGCTTAGAGAAACAGGTCCTTTGGCCCCTTTTCTTTGCATATGGCTTCCCATCCCCAAAGAGCTGATTACAACCCCCTTTCAGGTATGTGCCAGGTGGTTTGGAGTACCATGCCCACCATCCACATTGGCTGGGGAGGTCAGGAGCTGTAGTCCAGCCCATCCAGAGGGCAGCAGGACAGGGCGGGCCCTCCGGCGCCCAGCTCAGCCCGGCCCTCCCCTCCCCGCCTCCCTGACTGCTGCTCCTTGGCAGATGCTGCAGCCCCAGTTCCAGTCCCACAACCTGCGCGAAGTCCTGAGCAAGCTCTTCCAGGTCATCCCCGGAGAGGACCCCTACCGCCCCCGCCCGCCCCAGCCATGCCGGCGCTGCGCCGTGGTGGGCAACTCGGGCAACCTGCAGGGCTCCAGCTACGGCAGGGAGATCAACGGGCACGACTTCGTCATGCGGTGAGTAGCCGGACGGGTGCCGGGCTGCGTTCCCCCCTCGCTAGGCCGGCGCGTGCACTGCAAAGAGCCTCTCCCACGTGCTCGGCCAGGCCTGGTGATGGGCTTCCCAAGCGCCCTGGCCAGGGGGCTGCTTCCAGCTCGCTCTGGCACTGAGGCATCTGTCCCAGCTCCACCCCTGCCAAGGGACAGCCTGTGCACAGGGAGGAGTCTTCAGCCACCCTCCACTGGCCACATTTGCCCTTCCTGGTGGCTGGCTGGTCCCGAAAAGTTGCTCAGGTCAAATGTTTGGTATCGTGTGCATTGCACAGACGCAGCAGTCAGAAAAGTGGGACTTAATGTGCCTTTGTATGTAGGTGTCTAGACCTGTCTGAATGGGCAAACGTGCTGAACTGGTTTATCAAAATGCTTTCTTACCATTTTAACTGGAATCAGACAGAAGAATTAAATCCTCACGAATATCAAGCCAGCTGAGCCAAAGCTTTTAACAGTCCGGTTGGCCACGAGGGGGATTGCTTTGGTGACTGCTCTTGTGTCACCCAGTCTGCACTGGTGTATCCAAATGCAGCAGGTGGGAGGTTGGGGAGCGGAAACAACCCATGCCTGCTTGTCCTGGGCACCAGTGCGTGGATTGTTCCTCTGATCCGCTATCAGGAGGGCCAGCTGGGAATGCGGGAGAAGGGAAATCAGCCAGGAGAAGCGTGCCTGGTAGGCAGTTCAGCAGCTGTTCGGCTGACGTGGTGAGCAATGCCTCTTTCTGCTGCATCATTCCCTGCAGAATGAACCAGGCCCCCACCGTGGGCTTTGAGGCAGATGTTGGGAGCAGGACGACCCATCACTTCATGTACCCAGAAAGTGCCAAGAACCTTCCAGCCAACGTCAGCTTTGTCCTTGTGCCCTTCAAAGCTCTGGACCTGCTGTGGATCGCGAGTGCCCTGTCAACGGGCCAGATCCGGTTGTATGTACAGGATCTGCCGGTTTCTTTCTGTCTCGCATTTTTAATTGTGCTTTCGATTTTTCTGCTTCCGGGATAGTTTTCATTATGTTTCTGATCTTTCTGTGAACCTCCTTGAGGGACATTTCTGGGGGGAAGGTTGGATTATCGATCATTTCATGAACTGCAGACTTTCCGTCGTCTGATCTGGTCCTGCCCATCCTTCCCAGGCTTTTCACTGGGCAGCGGTTTGAGCCAGGCTGGGGAGGCAGTGGGTGGCCCCTAACCCTAACACAGCCAGGCGCCACCCACCCACCTCCTCCTGCCCCCCGTGGAGGTTTGCTGGCTTTGCGTGGTTTTCTCCCCATTCTTTTAGAATGGGGGGACGAGCACCTAATGCTGCATCATTGGGCCGATATTTTGTACCTCTGCCTTGGCCTTTGGCCTCCCCCAGCACTGGGAAGTGACCTCAACGAGTTTTTCCAAGGCTTGATGCCTCCACTTTGATCCACGCTGCTGCTGAAGGCGCAGGAGGCTGCCAGCCATTTTCCTCCTCTGGCTAGTTGGCAGTGTGGCGTGCAAGTGGCCCAGCAGAGGGTTCCCCAAGGCACTCCCCCCTCCGCACACCCCCAGAGCTCTGGGGAAGCTGGTGGGGCTGCAGTGGACCAGTCAAGTTTTGCACACTGTGAGCAGCCTGCAGCGAGGCGGCGGCTCCATGTGGCCCTTCCTGTGTGGCGCGCACTGCCACCTGCTGCACACTCGGCCTCGTTGCCGTATCAGATCCCCCGGAGTCAGGGCAAGGCAAAACAGTGACTCTGAGATCTGGGCACTGGAGAGAGCACCGTGTGTCCATGTGTGCGGTTTCTCCATCTCTGTTTGGGCGAAAGGATGGAAGTGAGCTCGGACTGCACCCAAGCCTGCTTTCTTCCTCGGCTGCGAGGTTGGGGGGCCGTCCCACATGCAGATCCTTGTGACTGCCATGCCCATCTCTCCTACTCCCTCGAGCAGGAGAAGCAGCAGGGAAACGTGGGAGGGAGAGATGGTTCAAGGACCTCTGTGCCCCCATGGGGTTCATCCTGTGGGGGCAGCCCCTCATCTCCCTGTCTCTTCTGCTTCTTCTAGTACATATGCCCCTGTGAAGCCCTTCCTTCGGGTGGACAAAGACAAGGTAAGGCAGGCCCTTCGCAGTTTCCTTGAGTTGTGCTGGAGCGTTCCTGGAAGGCGCTTCTGCTGGGTCAGAAAGCCCTCCATGCACTTGCAGGCATCTTGGGGCAGCTGGTTAGCACTTTCTGGGGACCTCTTGGACTTGGTGACCTGCAGCATCCATTCTAGCTGGGCTTCCACTGCTGTAACTTCAAACAACTTCCCAAGCTGTCCAGAGAGATTTGGCCCTCTTTATATTTGTTTCAACTTACTTTCTGCCAGACCCCTAATTTTTTAGCCGTGTTCTCTTCTGAAGTCAGTGCGACAGTGTTAGATTTCCCCTGCAGGTCCATTTGCATACAAGTTAAATGTGATGGCAGTGGATTCCCTCTTCCCAGTTGGTTTAGTGGTGCTGCCATCTCCCAGCAGGGCCCCTCTGGTGCCATGAGGGGCTGAGCCCAAGCCAATTCCTTGCTGGTCTTGTTTCAAGACTAAATATCCCCGGGCACAGTCCTTTCCATTACCTCCAGAGATAGAAATTTAACCTCTTTGTAATGATCAGATGAGTTTATCCAGTCTTTGGTGACATAACAACCACAGCTGCCACTCCCGTGGTTGCTTCCTGAATCTCACTCTTGTCCTTGATGCCACCCTGGGCATCGTGGGGGACAGTAACACGTCTGCAGTACTGATTACTGTAGGGGCTTTTGAAGTGTCAAAGAAATAAAATAAAACCAGCAGCCACTTCATCCTAACTGGAAGGAAAGCTCCTGTCCTCCTCCTCTTTGAGGATGCAATGTCTCTGTGTTGGGAGTGGCACTTTGCAAAGCAGGTCAGGGGCCTGTACAATGGGGCCATGTGGCAAAGACCCCTAGGGGTGCATGCTTGGTGGGCAGCTAAGCAGTTTGCCATGCCCAGTTTTCAGCATGCGCGTCCCGATGTGTGTGGGGGAGGGCTCAAGGCCCGCTGGCAGTGGGCTCTGGCCATGCTCGTTCAGCACGTGGCTCTTGTGAGCCAAGAGCTGCCTGGCCCGGCCTCACGCCTCCTCTCTCTCAACTGCTGTCCCTCAGGTCCAGATCTACAACCCTGCTTTCTTCAAGTACATCCATGACCGATGGACAGAGCACCATGGGCGCTACCCATCCACAGGGATGCTGGTGCTCTTCTTTGCCTTACACGTTTGCGACGAGGTGAGTTTTGCAGCAGTGGGAGGGGGCTGCCTCCGCATCCCTCTGTGCTTGGGGAGGTGTGGCTGGGTACCAGAATTCAGCATTCCCCATCTGATTTTTAGTATGATTTTTGGGGGACAATGAGTGTTGGGGGCGGCAGCAGGGGCTGTGTGTCGTTAACCTCCGAGTTCCGCAAACATAGGCTTCATTTCAGTGCGAATCCAAGATGAAGCTCCTAAGAGGGTCAGTTTCCTATGACGACAAGCCCTTCCTTACTTGTTCCTTGGCCGCCAGGTGAATGTCTTTGGCTTTGGGGCAGACAGCCGTGGCAACTGGCACCATTACTGGGAGAACAATCGCTACGCGGGGGAGTTCCGAAAAACCGGCGTGCACGATGCGGACTTTGAGGCCCACATCATTGACATGCTGGAGAGGACAAACAAGATTGATGTTTACCGTGGCAACTGAGCCTTCCAGCTCCACTCTTCAGCACTGGGCTGGCAACAGGCCTCCCAGAGGAGATGGCAGAGCTGGGGATTTCCCCACATCTCAGCGGACAATCAGGATGCTCCGACTTTGGAAGCGATCCAGCAGAGAGTGGCTCCTCCGGCGGGGGGGGCCCCTGAAACCAGCTGGATTTACAAATCATGCTGTGAGCGTCCAACAATCCCGCTGTGGCCCTGCCTGGGGGTGAGACCCCAAATGTCACAGTGTTTCCTTCTCTGAGTGGGGATGGAAAGGAGGAGGACCAGTCCGAGCAGCCAGCCAGGCCCCCAGACGAGCCCAAGAGGAGGGGCCGATGTCTTCCTCTTTCCCGGCACTTCGACATCTGCCAGCAGCCCCAAGTGCTGAGGAGGCGGCGCTCTGGGGGAGGGCTTCTCTGGCGCTCCAGCTGGGACTGTGAGAAGACCCACTTAACTCCTGACAGATGCTTTTTTGAAAAAACGGCCATTGCTTTTCTTTGATAATCACTTCCTGTGGTTGCCCAGGGAATCTCCTTTTGTCCAATCAGGTCTACAATTGTAGAGTGGCTGGATTGCATTTTGTGTTACAATCACGTAGACTCGAGGAGTTCCCTGGCAGGGCATCGTGGGAAACCTCCTGCACAGAGCCGAGCCTGCCGCAAAGCTTGGCTCTGGCTGGACCGTCTGTGGGGCGGGCGGCTGCTTGGAGATGAGCGGCTGGCCTTGGTCACGTCAGCTGCACTGGGCCGCAAAGGTGGATGGTCCCCACTTGTTCCCAGAGCTGAGCAGATGCCACACCAAAGGCATTCTGCTCTTCTGAACCTGTCTTCAGCCCTTCTCTCGTTTCCTGAAACAATCAAGCTCACCGCTGTCCCGAGTGGTGGCAAGCAGCTCTTTGTTCACCCAGATTCAAAGCAGGGTGTGCATGTTCCTAGTCTACCTCCACCGTTCTGTCCTCCACTTTTGCTCAGAGGGTTCCGGCAATTATGGGGGGAGCAAGAGGGTGAATGCTGGCAGGTGGCCTCCAGACACTCTGCACCTCCTCTCCTCTCGCCTCAGCCACTCACTCCCCAGTGGGATGTGGAATAGCCTGGCTCAGAGCAGACTGTTTAATTTGCTTTTCTTTCTAAGCATTGTCTTGTCTTGGAATCCTCCAGGGTCCCTGGTGGTGGGAGGCATCTGGCAGAGTTTCCCATCCCACTGGGACAAAAGGGATTCCTCACTTGCATCCACTATGAAAAGAAATGGATATCAAGTACTTTGGCTTTTTTGGCTAATGAGGAGGTTTCTTAAGGGCCATATGGATCCAGAATCTTGAGGTCCCAAAACTTTTTCTAATCATGAAGGCTTCCAGGACCTAATCCATAGCTGTATTAATATTTTGTAGACTGGATTATCCTGGAATCTTAGAACCACTGGAAGGAGCCACTGTGGCTGCCCTTTAGTCAGGCGTGCTGCCTGAGGGAGGCTGTGGAACATACTTCCCCAGCCTGGTGCCTTCCAGATGCACTGTACTTCCAACTTCATAATTCACCACCAGCAATAGCCATGCTGGGTGAGGGATGCTGGGAGTTGCAGTCCAGCACACCAAGGTGGGGTAAGCTGCTGCAGAGCCTTCCTCAAACTGAGCCATGGCATTTTTGTTCTGGTCTGTCTGTGCCCTGGCACTGCACAGGTGTTGACTTCTTTGGCACCTAGCTGCGGAGGGAACTAAGGTGGCAAGCTGGAGGGTGGGGCAGGGGCAGGGGCAGGGGCAGGAGCAGGGGCAGGACAGTCTCGGGAATTAACGAGTGCCTTGATATGCACAGTCAGCTCTGCTGGACTCTCTGCTGGGTGCCCTGCACATGGGCTGTGTTTGCTGTGCAAATGCCCCCCCCCCCCCGGTGCTGTTTTGGTAGCGGCTCCCCTCTTCTGTTGCCATGCTGCTGCTGTTTTGAGGGTTTTGCATGGAGAAGAGCCCCTTCTGCATGAAGAAGTCAGACAGGGTGTGGAGGCTTGAGGAATTTCCTGGGGGTGGCATTCCTTCTGGCTGATCTTTGCACTGGAAAGAAAAGTGTTCCTGGCCAGATTCTCACTGGCCACTGCCTGGCTGGGAGCCCCATGTGCCACTCCAGCGTAATGGATGGGATGGGATGGTCATGGTGCAAACAACAGGAGGCAGCCGTCCCGTCACTTAGCGCCTGGCCTTCTGCACAGCACGAGCTTCTTGTCTCCCCGAGCTGGTCCATGCAATCTAGCAGGCCACGTGGCTCACGGACGCCTGCAGCCATCTGTACAGCCACACCGAGCTGCCGCACATGCAGGCAGCCACTTCAGCTGCTCAGGCCATGGCTGTGGCTTGTGCCATCCAAACCTGGTGAGGGCAAGTTGCTGGCAGGTACAGCAAAGCCCCCACAACCTTAACACAGCCTGTGGGTCCTTGGTGATTTTGAACCACTCCAGCAGCCCAGCCTTGCTGGGTTTGGATGAAGCTACGATGTGTGGCAAGCCTGCTGTGTCTCTTGGAGCTGGGGGCCTCCCCCCACCGCTGCCCACCAATTTCCTGGGCCGGTTGCAGCTCCTCAGCTTGGCAGGCCTCCGGGCGCTGCCACTGAATTTCTGGAGGAGCAGCGTGCGAGGGGCAGGGAGGCTGCACTGGGTGCCGCAGGAGCAGTTCTCTCTGTGCGGAAGCTGTTGTGCAAGATGGAGCAGAGGGTGTTTGCTGCCTCCAGCGAGGAGGAAGGCCTCCTGTTTCTGTCCGTCACACTCGGGGCTGTTCTGCATTTGGAAGGACTCCCAGCTAAACTGAACCACTGCTTCCCAAGCACCAGAGCTTTAGGCAGGACGTGGACCATCAGCAGCCCCAGCCATGCAGCCCACTTTCCTGCTCTAGCACATCTGCACAGCGCCCTCTTGTGGCTTCCACAGGCACCTCTTACAGCAGCAGCAGTCACGGATCCAAAGCAGTCTCCTTCCCGCCCGAGCAGTCGCAGCTGCCGCACTTCCGAATCAGTATTACATGCCGTCGTGCTGCCTTTCATCATGCAGTTCTTAATTTCACATGCTACGACTGGAAGCAACTGGATTATGGTGGTGTTCTGTTGTACAAGATAAAACCCTTTTCTTTCTGTTCATTTTTGCAGTTTGTACCTGAAATATGTGTGTGAGGTGGGAGGGGGGAGTCATTCATTTCAAGTAGGGTTGCCAGTGGAGGGGGCTGGGTGGACCACCCAGCCAGCAGCATGTCCAGAAGCACAAGACAGTGCAGGCAGCCCCTCATTTTGCGCCGGCTAAGCCGGCCCTCCTTTCCATGGGTGATCTGAGGTATTGCCCATCTGGGGCACGCCAATTTTGCAACTCGTTTTTAAAAGTGCTCCTAATGCTCCTCCTCGGTATTAAATCGGGCCAGTGCATGCTTCATGTAATCCTTAACCATCAGGATTTTCTCAGAACTGATCTTTATTGGAAGAACGTGGACTGTAATTGTGAATGGCTGTAGGCTTGGCTGTGCCTACGTCTCCTGAACAAGCCCTGGGCACGCCTTTGGAGAGCTGCCTCAGCCTCACCCCAGTGGGAAGCCCCTGGAAAGCTGCCCAGAGGGCCAATCAGGACAAGAAGCCTCTGTGGAAAAACAGCACTGACAAGGAGCACCGTGCGTGTGTGTGTGTGTGCGCGCGCGCGCGCGCACGCGCACTGGAGACTTCTGGGCTGGGTTCCTCCAGTTCGGGCAGAGCACTGGAGAGGATGTTCCAAGGGCCGCTGCTTTGCTGCCACAGCTCGGTGTGCTCTTCTCATTTCTGGGCTCACATGGTTGGTGGCTTCCAATCTCTTTTATGCAGTCTGACGCTCTAAGTGCTTCCCCAACCTGGCGCCCTAGAGATGGCTTTGAACTAGATTCCATCAGCCCAAACCAACAGGGTCAATAGTCAGGAAGGGTGGGTGCTGTAGTCCAAAGCGTGTGAAGGGCAACCAGGTTGGAAAAAGACCATCCTCCTATGTGGGAACCATTTTTTAAACGTTTGAAATTGTCTCTTCTTTTTTTCTTTAAAGGATGCAGTGAATTGAGAAGTGTAAGAATTGCAGCCATTTAGGGTCTAGATTATGATTTTATCAGGCCATGATGCAGCAGTGCACCCTTCCTCAAGTTGTTGCTCCCAGATGTGCTGGTCTAAAACTCCCAGAATGCTGTGCTGTCTAGGGGATTCTGGGAGCAGCAGTGCAACACTTGTGGGAGGCACCAGCTTGACAAAGCTACGTGTGCTAAATAGGGCATGGCAAGCCGCACTTTAGCAAACCACCCAGGCTCAGGCAGTTCCGAGAGAACGGCGGAGGGCCGCAAAGAGCTGCTCAAAGAGCCCCGCAAGCCACACTGAAAGGCACGAGCCGTGCTCCCCCGTCCTGTCCCGTGGCAGGTGAGGCCTCTTTCAGGGTGCCAGCCTCTCCCGCCCTGCCCCTCACCAAGGGACCACGTCCCCTTTCCAGTCTAAGAAGGTTCCATTGTCAGCGGCAGAAAGCTTGGCGAGCACATCCAGGATTCCTCTTATCCTGCACTCCATGGTCGGTATTTCCTGGAACAAGAAAGTGGCGAGATCCCATGAATGTTGTGCTGGCATCCGCTCCTTCACTAATCAGCTCCACAAGAGCCCTTCGCGATGACAGCGCCACTGCTCTTTCGTGTGCTGTGGGAGTGACCCATGCCAATGCTGCTCAGTTACTATAGCGAAGCGTTGCTTTCAGTGTAGCAACCCCATTTCCAAGGGGACAGGCAGTTGCAGCAAAACCAACAGCAAGTCTTGTGGTGCTTTAAAGATTCCTTGCGGCAGCACCCTTTGTGGAGTGCAGTCCACCTGCGATCAGACTAAGCGGACTGTAGCTGAGGGAAGCTCCTGGCTGAGTAATTCATCCTTGTTGCCAAGCTGGCTTGTTTTCCTCTTCCCTCCTCACTATTTTCCCTTGTTTGTGATTGATCTCCCACTCTAGGAGCCCTGTCAGCTAAAGAGTGGGAGGCCAATGCTCTAAATAAATCCTTGCTTAAATCCATGGGCCAAAGCGTGATTTCTCTCTGGTGATTTCCACAGGACTGGCTGCTGCTCTGTTCCGAGCTTCCTTGCTTGCTTTTGCTCCCTTTCTTGTAATGACCTCTCCTATGAAGCTGTTCAAAACACAAGATCCTCAAAATGCCAACTCCAAGAGGAAGGCGCCCGTTTCATCTGGCCCCTCCCTTTCTTCTCCCCATTTCTGCCCTGCCGTGTGTGGGTGCTCCCTGGTGCCTGGGTGGGGCTTCCTGGGCACGCCGCAGAGCGCTGGGAGCTGCAGGGGCATGTGTGGGACAGCCAGGGGCATCTGGTGCTCCTTGCGCATTGGGGCCCTCACCCTCGCGTTCCCCTGTCCTGGACAGCCACGTCATGGCTGCATCTTGGATCCCGACCAGCAGGCAGGCTGGGCTGAAGCTCTGGCACAGGGAGGCACCCAGTCGCCTCACAGGCACAGGCCAGGCCACCAGGAGCTGCAGAGGCTTTTCGCCATGCTTGTCGAGGGTTTCCTGTGCTGCCTGTGGCGGCACTGCTGCCTAAGCTCGGGCAATGCGAGAACTCGCTGTGGGCCAAGCGGCTCTGGGAGGCATGGGGCAGTCTGCCGGAGGAGAGGCAGGGCACTTGCAGGAGGCGTCAGGCTCCGAGGATGCGGCAGCCCCCACCCCCAGCTGCTCGCCTGTGTCGTGCTTCCCCCTGAGCTGCCTGCTTTCCCTGCCAGCCTCCAGGAGGAGTGTCTTCAGCCAAAGTCTGCCTGCAGGCTCCTTGCGGCTGCAGGTGAGGCTGCCAAAGGGGGCAGGATGTGAACACTGCCATGAGCAGGTGCAACGAGCGCCATGGGTCCAGGCTTCTTGCAGAGCTCCTGGAATGACTTGCCTGGTCTGCCCCAGTACTGTGTGATTTGAGGGTCAGTCTGTTCTGCTCCTGGCTCTTTCCTCAAAGCTTGGCCTGAGAGGTGGTTCTTCCAAGTTGGGCAAGCTAAGCTCCAGGTGGTCCGCGTCCCTCAGAGCACTCTAGGCTCTCCCTTGATCGGACTGGTTGAAGTGTGCGATTCTACATGCCCCGAATGAGCTCTGTTTCTAAGCAGCAATTTGTGTTGCCTCCAGTTGCCACCTCAGCCCTCTGCTGCCCACCACTCACGCACGCTGCCTACCTGCTCTGCTCCCACTTGGGATGCTGCACCCCCAGGATGGATGGCAATGCACAGGATTCCCCAAAGGCGATACGTCAGGGCCTGGCACTGAGTGAGCATGTTCAGAGCAGCCTGCAGAGGAAGGAAGCATGCGGTGGCAGTCCAAGGAGTGCAAAGTGCTGGGAACTCCGCTCCCCCGTGAACTGGGAACGGACAAAAGAATGTCCTCCGGTCCCCAGTCACGGCAACTGGCGAAAGGAGCATTTATCCAAGGGGCTCAGCCCCTTTTTCAGACAAGCCACATGCGGCTGAGGGGTGAAGATGTGGGCTGTGTGCCGATGGTTTGGTGGGAACAGGTAGAGTCTGGCTGGGCTGCAGCCCACCTGCTGCTGTTCTGTTTGTTCTTCAGGGCTGCCTGGCCATCTGGGGCAGCACCAAGCACCCACCAATGCAGACAAGAGTTCACCCACCTGCACTGGTGCCCCCGCCCCCTTCCTCCTGCTCCATACCTTGCTGCAGCGGTAGCCAACGTCCTGCTTCCATTCCCAGCCCTCAACCAACGAGAGGGAGCCGCAGCTGCTGGACACGTTGACGACGGCGGCTTTGTCGCCTCTCAGCCCACTGAGCATGCCCCTGCAAGCGGCCCGTCGGAGCAAAGGCAAGAACTCCTGGGGAGGGAGACTGCGTGGGTCTCGTTCTCCATGGGCCACGCTGCTCCCACCCACCGAGCCCTCCCTGCCGGGCTGCGCTGGTGTGGGCGGAGGGCTCCAGGCCAGCGTTTCATGCAGCCTCCCTGCTGGGGCGGTGCAGGGACAACCCGCTCATGAGCGCCCTTTTCAGCCCATCCGCATCCGTACCTGGCACACCAGCATGGGCCCGATGGTGGTGGTGGTGTAGCTGGCCAACATGCTCTGCACATTCTCGGAGGCCAGAGTGGTTTCGCGAGCGACCTCAGCACTGTTTATGAGCTGGTTGAGGTCCCTCCCCACCATCCGCTCCTCTACCTTCCTGGCAGCTTCCTTGATGCTCTGGAGATCGGTGACATCTAGGCAGAGTGCAGGACAAAGAAGGGGAAGAGCAAACCTGCCACAGCTGCTCCTTGACGGACGCTCTGGTATGAAACCCCCAGAGCAAGCAGCCCACACGCGGCAGTTCTCCCTCACCAGCACCCCCCCCCCAAGGGCAGCAGCCACCTGGTGGTCTTGGCAGGGGCGCCCTCACACCGGAGGAGATGCTCCCTGCCAGGCCTTCCAGGGCAGCACAACCACCTTTCTAGCACCACGTGAAAACTCTCCACACAAGCATATGGGAAGGATTTTGAAAAGGCGCCAGGTCTTGTTGGAGGTGGTTGTTCAAACCTATCTAAACTAAAGCTCAGTCCAGACAAGACGGAGGTCCTGCTGGTGGGTGGTTCGAACTCCTTGGTAGGTGACTTGGATCTTGTCCTGGACGGGGTTGCACTCCCTCTAAAGGACAGGGTCTGCAGCTTGGGAGTGCTCCTCGACCTGGAGCTGACTTTGGAAGCTCAAGTGTCGGCGGTGGCGAGGAGCGCTTTCCATCAGCTTTGGCTAATCCATCAGCTGCGTCCCCACCTGGAGAACGACTGCCTAGCAACAGTGAGGCACGCATTGGTTACTTCCCGGTTGGATTTCTGTAACACGCTGTACGTGGGGCTGCCCTTGAAGACGGTCCGGATACTTCAGATGGTGCAAAATAGAGCAGACAGGTTGCTGACGGGGACTGGGCGTTACTCTCATATAACCCCAGTCCTCTATCAGCTTCACTGGCTTCCCATCGAAGTCCGGGCTCAATTCAAGGTGTTGGTAATTACTTATAAAGCCCTTAACGGCTTGGGACCTGGATACCTAAAGGAGCGCCTGCGTCCAGATTTGCCCTCCCGCCCCTTGAGATCGGTAGCAGAGGCTGTCCTCCGGGAGCCTTCTGTGAGAGATATTAGGAAGCAAAGTACCCGGGGGAGGGCTTTCTCTGTGGTGGCGCCCTGCCTGTGGAATGCACTCCCCAGAGAGATCCACCTGGCGCCATCGTTATTTGTTTTTCGGCATCAGGCCAAGACCTTTTTATTCAAACAATATTTTAATAAGAGCCAGTGTGGTGTAGTGGTTAAGAGCATGGGACTGGGACTCAGACGATCTGGGTTCTAGTCCCTGCTCAGACATGGAGGCAACTGGGTGACTTTGGGCCAGTCACAGACTCTCAGCCCAACCTACCTAACAGGGCTGTTGTTGTGGGGATAAGATGGAGGAGGAGATGTCAGCTGCCTTGAGCCCTTTGTAGGGAAAAGGCAGGATATAAATTGAAAAATAAATAAATAAATAAATAATATTTATAAGTTTTAATTGTGCAGCCAGGGTGTTTCTGGGTTTTAATTGTAATTGTTATTTATATTGTATTTATTTATTTCGGTGAGCTGTCCCGAGGCTATATAACAAGGGGATGGCATAGAAACACTAAATCTATCTATCTATCTATCTATCTATCTATCTATCTATCTATCTATCTATCTATTTGCACGTTGCTTTTCCATTGCATCAACTTGGCAGACATGGTGGGAGACCAGCAATGTAAATACATGAGGGAAAAGCAGCATACCCATCTGAAGCAGCACTAGGGTAGAGGTGTCTGGGCACCTAAGAGCAATGTCTGTTAGCACCTGCAAAGGAGACAATCCATGCTCATCCCTGGTACAAAGCTACCTGGAGCTCTGGGGAGATGACGCGCAACGAATTCCCATGCCTATTCCCATTGTGGAATGGTGGGAGCGATGTGCACGCAGCCCGGGGAGTTCAGGCCCAGGCCCGATGTCACACTGTCCATGCCACACTCCACCGCCTCTCCAGCTACCTTCACATCAGCAGGTGCTCCCAGTACTTCTAAATTGTGGACGTTTCCCCCAGACTGACAGAGGGTGTCCCGGGGCTCCCACGGCTGTCATCCCTGCATGGCCAGGGTCTTCCTGAGCATGCCCGACCTCCCGGGTGCGCACGGTCAGCTGGGCTGATAGCAAGGACAGGCAGCGAGTGAGCTACTGCAGCGGCTTGAAATGCAGCAGCACTACAGAAGAGGAAGACGCCACCTCCTTGCCTATCTGCAGGAATGCACCCGCGCCGTTATGCACACACTCCTGCCGCACGCAGGCACCCTGCCCTGGTGTCTAACCCTAACCCCAACCCTAACCCCAAACATCCTTCACTTGTAAAAGCCAAGAATAGACCCAGGCGATTGCACAGCATGTGGCGTCTGCATGTCAAGAGCACCATGTTGCACCCTCTCTTCGCCCTCCTTGGCATCCATGAAAGTGCCCTTTCCCATCCTGACTTGGCAACAGCCCTCCCTCCCTTTAGGCATTAAGCAATGGGTTTTGTGAGGGCTGGTTCAGCAGCCTGCAGGAGAGAGACAGGTCAGGGCAGTCTTCCCCATGTAATGCGCTCCGGCTGTGTCTCCCCCAAGCTCTTCCTGCCTCTGCTGAAGAAGGCTGCCCAGGCAAGTCCGGAGGAAGGGCTGAGCTGCAGCAAGGCGGCCATCATCAACATCTCCAGCGACTTTGCCTCCATTGAGAAAATGCCTGGGTGGTATCTCGCAAAAGTCATCTCATACCGCTGCAGCAAGGCAGGTGAGGGCCACGCTCTCATGCATCGTATTCCTGCTTAAGCAGTGAATGTATGTACTCCATGGTTCCTGCTCAAACTAAGGGCCCTGTTGTGCAGCCCACGTGGAAGTACCTTCTCTTATGTTGCTCCTGAACAATGGAAATGCCTCGCTAGGAACTGTGACTGGTTCACTCACACTCTCTGCACTGTTAGGAAGGACACAAAAATCCCTTTTAAGTCATGCGGCTACTTTAATAGCTTTGTGTTTTCCTGCGTCCATGACTTTTGCTGTTAGGATTTCTGTTTTAAGCTTTTGAACAGTGCTTTGATGTTTTCATCAGTAAGGTTACAATAAAACCTTTTGTAACCTTTGTGAAAGGTTATGCTACATTGTGAAAGGTTACAATAAATAATACCTTATTCCAGGAAATAATTCCTTCTTCTACACAACAGATTCTGGATGTAGAGATAGCAGTCTGTTCCCCATGACATGCCACCAAGATAACTACCCAAGCACCAGTTCTCACCACCATGTCCAACAGCAACATGGCTTTCTCAGGCTGGTGGCAAACCATTTCAGGCAGCGTGTGTCCTTGTCACATACGGCTCAGCGCTAGTCAGACCTCACCTGGAGTATTGTGTCCAGTTCTGAGCAACTAAGTTTTTAAAAGATGCAGAAAAGCTTAGAAAGGGTACAGAAGAGAGCAACAAAAAAGATCTCTTCTGCTGATACCAGAGTGTAAGACATGGAATAATCAATTCAAGTTGCAACAACTCAGATTTAGACTAGATATTTCAAGTTTCCTCACTATCAGTGCAACCAGCTGCCTAGAGAGGTCATGGGCTTTCCCACACTGGAGCCATTCAAAAAGAAACTAAACAGCCCTCTGAGTGGGATGGTGTAAACTGGTGTCCTGCAGGGAGTTGGGACCCAATGGCCCCTTCCAACTCTACTATTCTATGATTCTATGAACAAGGATGATTCAGAGACTGGAGGCAAAGCCCTATGAGGAAAAGGTGAGAGAACTAGGTATGTTCAGCCTCAGTAAGACAGAGTGGTGATATGACATCACTCTACCTGAAAGGCTGTCAGAAAGAGAGACAAGATCTCTTCTGGTTCATTCCAGAATGCAGGATACAAACTAATGGACTTAAGTTAAAAGAAACCAGATTTAGACAAGACCCCAGGAAGAATTCCCTGAGTGTCAAAGCAGTACAGCAATGAAACCTATTACCTGGGGAAGTTGTGAGCTGTTCCTCACTAGAGACATTCAAAAAGCATCTTGATAGTCATCTGAATGGGATGGTGTAACTTAGTATCCTGCAATAGCAGGGGGTTGAATCCAGGGGCTTTCTGGCCCCTTCCAACTCTACTATTCTATGACCCATCTTGCTCCTTTAAGATTCAGATTGAATGGGTGGAGGCTCTTCAGTCCCAGGCAGAGAAGACAAAGCCTTCACCAGCCCTACTAAGAGAGGCCTCTGAAACAGAGACCTCTCACCTGCACCCTCTTCTGTAGCCACCGCAGCAGCTGAAGCTGGCTGCCTCCTGGCCTTGAGCCTCTTGGTCTGGAGCATCATACTGATGCACACACATTGTGTGACCTCTACTCATGGCACATCTCGCCCTCAGACTGCTGTGAACATGCTGACCAGATGCCAGTCCTTGGAGTATAAGAAGTTTGGGGTTCTCTCCATGTCAATCCACCCTGGCTGGGTGAAAACTAGCATGGGAACCTCCCTGGTAAGTGCACAAGCAGCACCTTGAAGAAGCTGTTTTGGTGATGGGGTCTCTGTAGCAGAAAGATGGGTTGACCAGTTCCTCGGAAACAGGCAGGTAAACTAGCAGGTGGTGCCCATGAACAGGCCTGGAATTAGAAAGGAGTCAGTGATGCTCTGGCCACCTGGCTTGTCTATTCATGTGGAAGCCTGCTAATGCAAGCAGCATTTTTCTTGGGTTGGAGAGAGGTATGTTCTTTTCTGACCTTCCAGGATGGAGGAATGGCCTCAAAGGATACAGTCCAAAGGAGAGCCAGTGTTGTGTAGTGGTTAAGAGCGTGGGACTAGGACTCAGACGATCTGGGTTCTAGTTCCCGCTCAGCCATGGAGCCAACTGGGTGACTTTGGGCCAGTCACAGACTCTCAGCCCAACCTACCTCACAGGGTTGCTGTTGTGGGGATAAGATGGAGGAGGAGAATGATGTAAGCTGCCTGAAGCCCTTTGTAGGAAAAAGGCAGGATATAAATCCATAAATAAATAAATAAATAAATGTTCATAAAAATAGCCCCACATAACAACAATATTTCACACAGCCCCTTGTGCGGCCAAAGTCTCTGTGCAGGGACCCCCTTCTCCTTCCCCTCAGTGGCTTTTTTGTGGGAAA